TTCGCCCGATTTTCATATTTTCATTTGCTATAGACCACACCTCCTGCATAGGCCCGGATGCCCAGACCCTAGCTGCCTAAAAACTTTTCGGCCCATCAAAAACGACCTAAGGAACAATAGTCACCTCCTCGCCATGAACGTTCCTCGTTTTTCTGCGTATTATGGTCATAAAATTGGAATTCCGCCTGATTCCTGTATTTTCTGTGCTATAGCCCACGCCTTCTGCATGGGCGCAGGCCACCGGACACGGAGCGCCTAAAATTTTGCCGGACCAACAAAAATGACCTAAGGACAATAGTCACCGTCTCGCAATGACCGTTACTCTTGTTTGGCATTTTAAGGGCCATAAAACTGGAATTCCGCTCGATTCCCAGATTTTCGTTTGCTATAGCCCACGCCTCCTACATAGGCCCGGGTGTCCGGACCGAGACCGCCTAAATATGTTTCTAGTACATAAAAAATGAACTAAGGAACATTAGCCCCGCTATGATCGTTACTCGTTTTTTGGCGTTGTAGTGCTACAAAATTGGAATTTCCCAATTCCTAGATTTTTGTGTGCTATATCCCATGTCTTCTGCATGGGCCCGGGCGCCTGGACCCAGGTCGCCTAAACATTTTTTCGACCTAAGGAAGAATAGTCACCACCTCGCCATGACCGTTACTCGTGTTTCGGCATTTTAGGGCCATAAACTGAAATTCCGACCGATTCCCTGATTTTCATGTGCTATAGCTCACGCCTCCGGCATAGGTCTAGGGGCCCAGACCCAAGTCGCCTAAAATATTTTCGGCCCATCAAACACGACCTAAGAAAAAATAGTCACCGCCTCGCAATGATCGTTACTCGTTTTTTGGCGTATTAGGGATATAAAGCTGGAATTTCGCTTGATTCCGTGATTTTCGTGTGCTATAGCCAACGCCTCATGCATGGGCCCCGGGCGCCTGGACCCGGACCTCCTAAAAATTTTTCGATCCATCAAAAATGACATACGGAACAATAGTCAGTATCTCGCCATAACCGTTCATCATGTTTTGGCGTTTTAGGGCCATAAAGTTGGAAATCCACCTCATTCCTAAATTTTCGTGTGCTATAACTCTCGCCTCCTGCATGTGCATGGGCACCCGGATCGCTTTAAATTTTGTCGTCCCATCATAAACGACCTAAGGAACAATAGTCACCGCCTGTCCATGACCATTTCTCTTTTTTTGGCATTTTAAGGCCATGAAACTAGAATTCCGCGTGATTCCTAGATGTTTGGGTGCCATAGCCCAAGTCTCCTGAATGGGCCTGGATAGCCTAAAAAAAATTGATCCATCAAAAATGACCTAAGGAACAATAGTCATTGTCTCGCCATTATCATTAATCATTATTTGGCATTTTAGGGCCATAAAATAAGAATTCCGCTCGATTTTCAGATTTTCATTTGCTATAGCCCATACCTCCTGCATAGGCCCGGATGCCCGGACCCTAACTGCCTAAAAATGTTTCGGCCCATAAAAAATGACCTAAGGAAGAATAGTCACCTCCTCGCCGTGAAAGTTCCTCATTTTATTTTTTGCGTTTTAGGGCCATAAAACTAGAATTCCGCCCGATTCCCAGATTTTCTGTGCTATAGCCCACGCCTTCTGCATGGGCGCATGCCACCGGACCCGGAGCGCCTAAAATTTTGCCTGACCAACAAAAATGACCTAAGGAACAATAGTCACCGCCTCCCAATGACCGTTAATCTTTTTTGGCGTTATAAGGGCCATAAACCTGGAATTTCGCTCGATTCCCAGATGTTCGTTTGCTATAGCCCACGCCTCCTACATGGGCCCGGGTGCCCGGACTGAGACTGCCTAAATATTTTTCTAGTACATCAAAAACGAACTAAGGAACATTAGCCCCGCCATGATCGTTACTCGTTTTTTGGTGTTTTAGGGCTATAAAACTGGAATTTCCCAATTCCAAGATTTTTGTGTGCTATATCCCATCCCTTCTGCATGGGCCCGGGCGCCTGGACCCAGATCGCCTAAAATTTTGCCGGCCCATCAAAAACGACTTAAGGAAAAATAGTCACCGCCTCACCATGACCGTTACTCGTGTTTCGGCATTTTAGGGCCATAAACTAAAATTCCGACCGATTCCCTGATTTTCATGTACTATAGCCCACACCTCCGGCATGGGTCTGGGGTCCCAGACCCGAGTCGCCTAAAATTTTTTTGGCCCATCAAACACGACCTAAGAAAAAATAGTCACCGCCTTGCAATGACCGTTACTCTCTTTTTGGCGTATCATGGCCATAAAGTTGGAATTTTATGTGATTCCTTGATTTTCGTGTGCATATAGCCCACGCCTCCTGCATGGGCCCCGGGCGCTGGACCCGGACCTCCTAAATTTTTTTCGATCCATCAAAAATGACATAGGGAACAATAGCCATTGTCTCGCCATGACCGTTCATCATGTTTTGGCGTTTTAGGGCCATAAAGTTGGAAATCCACATGTTTCCTAAATTTTCGTGTGTTATAGCCCTCGTCTCCTGCTTGGGCATGGGCACCCGGACCTGGATCGCTTTAAATTTTGTCGTCCCATCATAAACGACCTAAGGAACAATAATCACCGCCTGGCCATGACCATTTCTGTTTTTTTGGCATTTTAAAGCCATAAAACTAAAATTCCACCTCATTCCCAGATGTTTGGGTGCCACAGCCCACGTCTCCTGAATGGGCCTGGACGCCCAGACCTGGACAGCCTAAAAAAAATCGATCCATTAAAAATGACCTAAGGAACAATAGTCATTGTCTCGCCATTACCATTAATCATGTTTTGGCATTTTAGGGCCGTAAAATAAGAATTTCGCCTGATTTTCATATTTTCATTTGCTATAGACCACACCTCCTGCATAGGCCCGGATGACCAGACCCTAACTGCCTAAAAAATTTTCGGCCCATCAAAAACGACCTAAGGAACAATAGTCACCTCCTCGCCATGAACGTTCCTCATTTTTTTGTGTTTTATGGCCATAAAATTGGAATTCCGCCCGATTTTCATATTTTCTGTGCTATAGCCCACGCCTTCTGCATGGGCGCAGGCCACCGGACACGGAGCGCCTAAAATTTTGCTGAACCAACAAAAATGACCTAAGGAACAATAGTCATCGCCTCGCAATGACCGTTACTCTTTTTTGGCGTTTTAAGGACCATAAAACTAGAATTTCGCTCGATTGCCAGATTTTCGTTTGCTATAGTCCACACCTCCTACATGGGCCCGGGTGCTCGGACCGAGACTGCCTAAATATTTTTCTAGCACATCAAAAACGAACTAAGGAACATTAGCCCCGCCATGATCGTTACTCGTTTTTGGCATTTTAGGGCAATAAAACTGGAATTTCCCAATTCCAAGATTTTTGTGTGTTATATCCCATGCCTTCTGCATGGGCCCGGATGCCTGGACCCAGATCACCTAAAATTTTGTCAGCCCATCAAAAACGACCTAAGGAAGAATAATCACCGCCTCGCCATGATCGTTACTCGTATTTCGGCATTTTAGGGCCATAAACAAAAATTCTGACCGATTCCCTGATTTTCATGTGCTATAGCCCATGCCTCCGGCATGGTTCTCGAGGCCCAGACCCGAGTCGCCTAAAACTTTAAGAAAAAATGGTCACCGCCTCGCAATCACCGTTACTCGCTTTTTGGTGTATTAGGGCCATAAAGCTGAAATTTCGCTTGATTCCATGATTTTCGTATGCTATAGCCCACGCCTCCTATATGGGCCCCGGGCGCCTGGACCCGGACATCCTAATTTTTTTTCGATCCATCAAAAATGACATAAGGAACAATAGTCACTGTCTCGCCATGACCGTTCATCGTGTTTTGGCATTTTAGGGCCATAAAGTTGGAAATCCACCTGATTCCCAAATTTTCGTATGTTATATCCCTCGCCTCCTGCATGGGCATGGGCGCCCGGACCCGGATCGCTTTAAATTTTGTCATCCCATCATAAACGACCTAAGGAACAATAGTCATCGCCTCGCCATGACCGTTTCTCTTTTTTGGCATTTTAAGGCCATAAAACGAGAATTCCGCCCGATTCCCAGATTTTTGGGTGCCATAGCCCACGTCTCCTGAATGGGCCTGGACGCCCAGACCTGGACAGCCTAAAAAAAACTCGATCCATCAAAAATGACCTAAGGAACAATAGTCACTGTCTCGCCATTACCGTTAATTATTTTTTGGCATTTTAGGGCCATAAGAATTCCGCCCGATTTTCAGATTTTCATTTGTTATAGCCCACGCCTCCTGCATAGGCCCGGACCATTAGAAACGGCCTAATGAACAATAGTCATCGCCCTGCCATGATCATTCCTCGTCTTTTGGTATTTTAGGGCCATAAAAGAGGAATTCGGGATAATTTCTAATTTTTCGTGTGCTAATGTCCACGCCATCGAGTGACGGGCTCAAAATCGCCTAAACTTTTGTGGGCCCATCAGAAACAACCTAGAATAATAATCATTGTTTCGCTGTGTTTGTTCCTCGTTTTTAGCGTTTTAGGCCTATAAATCAGAAATTCAGGACAATTTCTAATTTTTCGTGTGCTAAAGTCCATGACATCTTCATGAATTCGGGCGACGGGCTGCTNAGAATGATTTCTAATTTTTCGTGTGCTAATGTCCACGCCATCGAGCGACGAGCTCTGAATCGCCTAAAATTTTGCGGGCCCATCAGAACAACCTAGAATAATAATCATTGTTTTGCCATGTTTGTTCCTCATTTTTAGCGTTTTAGGGCCATAAAACAGAAATTTGGAACAATTTCTAATTTTTCGCGTGCTAAAATCCCCGACATCTTCATGAATCGGGCGACGGGCTGCTAATCGCCTAAAATTTTATGGGAACCAAGAATAAAATTTAGCTGTATTAATCAATTCTTTTAGTAATAAATTGACTTAATCTGATGATTTAATCAACATTAGCAAAGGAATTTCTCCAACAAGAATACTGAAAAAACAATTGGCTAAAGAATGAAGCTGAACAGATTTCATTTGCTAAAGAATATGATGTTTGTCTCTTGTCAAAATTACATTCAATTGGGATCTATTGTTGCAACTAACCGTAGCCTCATCTATCTAATTTTAAGTGATATGGTATGAATGATGTGTCTTTCCTAGCTCTTCTAGTGTACAAACTGCAAAATTCAGGTTAGTTCTTCACAAAACTGTGAAAGAAAAAGCCTCACATCCTACTCTAACGAGAAGTAAGATCAACGAACACATCCTCCCTACAGGGAATTGTGACACCACCCACTGGATGATCAAAGCTAAATTCTTCCTCAGCTTGACTAAGCAAATCTTGAAATGAAGGTTGGCTCAAGAATGATATGGGGATTACAAATCTCTTCTTCTACTTCTCCCCAACATAAACAGCAAAATGGCCCTTTGGAATATCTCCAGCTGTAGAAGACTTCTTGATTATACGAGGCATACTGAGAGCCATGATCGTTTAGTTCAATACAGATGAGCAAATAAGGATGGGAATAATTAATAAGGACCTTGAGATCAAAGAAATGTTTTATATGGTTTCAGGTTTTGCTGAGTGTTGTTATAGTAAACCCCTCTTGGTATGTGTTTATATAGGCCAATGACAAGTTGTACAATCCTACTAATGTGCATTGAAAAGGCTTTGTGTGGGCACCAGCTAAAGACAATAGAACCTGAAGTATCACATGGTTTTGCCTTCCAACTAATTGTCATACTAATTAGACTTTGAAAGCAGAAGGTCCCACTGATGTTCACAACAAAGAACAGATTGATAAAACCTCATCTATCTCGAAAATGGTTTGTGGACCACCTCTATCTATTTCTTGATGTTATATCTATGAGGGCATATCCTGAGAATTTTAGACAAAAATCGGATAATGCATAGTGCTAAAGCGATGGCTCAGGATACAAGTTGGTTCAGACAAGAAAAAAACTAGTCTTATGTTTCCAAGAAGTGCTGCAGTTGAGTACTTATAAAATGGTCAAATTATGACGATTACTTATTTGAAATAATAGAGAATTGGATAAAGTTAGAATATTTCTTCAGTTTCAATTATCAATAAGAAGTTCACAGGTCATGCAAAGAAGAGCAAAACCAACCAGTGTCTACTTGTGTTGTGCCACTACTGAGCAAGAGTGGACCTCGGCACTAATTTTGTAGGAAACAATCAAGAGCAGAAATGTCTGAAGAACATAGAAGCATATATCTAAAGTGGTGTAGCAATTATGATAATGGACTGGTACAAAATCCACAAGAATAACGAGCTGGCTTAAATTTGTCAAGAAAATCAATTGACTAAGTGCACCTTGAATTGTTAAGACTATATAAATCAACTAGTGAGTGGCTTTCTTTCAATTGAGAATCTAAATTCATATACGGGACTTAATATTCTAAATATTTATGGACAACCAGCACTATGGCCTGTATGGTTAGTAACCTAAGACCAACCATGTGCATTCCTTCCAGTTTTGGAATGCTTGCTGCTGGAGCAAGCAACACACCATATCCACTGATTCCTAAGTTAATATAGCCTTACATGGAAATGCAGAAGCTCAATTTGAAATTAGAAAGAGAAAGTGTCTTTGTTAAGATGTATAATCATAAATCCAGTTTCGCTTAAATGTACTAACTACGAATTTCCTACAAGGAGTACAACTTTGAGAATGGCTTAAAAACATTCTCTCCTCTTCTAGACTTATTGTCTTGGGAGTACATAATGAATTCTTGCAATTGTAGTAGTGATTATATCAATTTCAAGCAATTGCTTCTAGCGTGATAGATATTTAGGGTGGTGCGAGCTCTCTAAGCTAATATGACCAACTGTGGGAATAGTCACAACTACCTCCAATCAAATGCTTCCTTACAGTTAATTTGAGTAACTCCTAGTATGAAGAAGCATATAAGAAGGATAGAACTACTCACTTAAAATCACAGCTTGAAGTACATGTCCGCATAATGGCAGAAATCCAGCATTTGCCCACGATTTACCTGGATGGATTGCTCATGAAAAACTTTAATCACTAATGCATGTGCCAACCATGGTGTAGGTTCTATGAAGCTCCAGTATGTTACTGATTGACAGTAAATATCAGACTTCCAAGTATTCCAACATTAAGATAAAACTTGACGTACTTGAATTAGTGGACCAGAGTGCACAAAATGAAGAACTACTCCAATCTGGTATATGATCAGCGTGCGATGCAGCACCAAGTTGATCTTCCAGTCAAAATGAAGAATTTATACCCCTGATTACACTTATCGCGATCAACGAGACTCTTTACAAGCAACTGAGTGATGTTGTATTCTCAGCACATAGCAGGCACACGCTGCACCCCTCGAATCTTCATCACTCATCATCTTAATGCAATGCAAAAGTTTATCTGCACTCTTCATCTAAGAAATGGTTTATTGTCAATTCTACCAAGTAATGTACTCAGGAACTGGTCTAACAGAACAACAGCCAAGACATCAACTGTGAATACCCTACACCAATCTAGTTTAGTTAGCCAATGTTGCATTAGTAGGTGTAGAAGAAAACTGAATCATTTCTATATCAAGCAACAAAAACAGTCTCAATCATTCTTCACCAGAAATCCCCACAGCTGCATATTCCATCTCTGAAATGATGAAATCGACTTGCATCCCTCACTGTAATTTCCCTTTTCGTAATTAAAGTTATATATTTCAGCGTACTATGGCAGTCAACACAAACTCGCAAATTCTTTGTAACGAGTATGGACTTGGTAGGATCCAGATTTAGCAATGCAAATGCAACTGCAAGCTTCTCGCTGTGATAAAGCAGAATCTGTTCCTTCTCTTCTTCCTCAACATCTTGGTAGACAAAACTGGATTCTGCACTGTACCCCAATTTTTTCATCTCCGTTGAAAGCTCCTTCAATTTCTCATTTATTTTAGCGGACTGAGGGTGGGATTGATCCCCACCAGCAAATGCATGGACAACCCCATTTATTTCAATCCAACTACATCCTGGGCTCTTCTTAAAGCCAGAATCCTTCTGCTTAATCCTAATATGAGCAGCGTCATCCCATCTACCAGCAGTAGTATACAAGTTGGATAAAAGAACAAAATTGCCTGGACTTTCAGGTCCTAGATATTGGATCTTGTTAGATACTTCTTCTGCTAGTACAATATGTTTATGGATTCTACAAGCAGCAAGCAAAGCACTCCAAATACGCACATCAGGTTTAAAAGGCATATTCTGGATAAAACCATAGGCCTCATCTAGGAGACCAGCACGGCCCAAAAGATCCACCATGCACAAGTAATGATCCATCCTAGGGCTAATTTTGAATTCTTGACACATGCTGAAGAACCAATATTTCCCTTCAGCAACAAAACCAGAATGGCTGCAAGCAAATAAGAGACCGATGAAAGTTATCTCATCTGGCATTTGAGCTACAGTCTGCATGTCATAGAACAACGAAATTGCTTCCTTTCCATGACCGTGAACTCCATATCCAGCAATCATTGCATTCCATGAGACAACATCCCTTTTATTCATCTTATCAAAGATAATCCTAGCAATGTTGACTTTACCACATTTGGAGTACATGTCAATTAGGGCATTACAAATAGAAACATCCTCTGTAAATCCACGTACTATCGAGTAACCATGGGTGCAAACTCCAAGTTGTAGAGCAGCCAAATGTGAACAGGCTGGTAAAATTCCCATCACTGTTGCAGATTCTGGTTGAACCCCAGACGATTGCATCATTTGGAAAATCTGCAAAGCTTCTTCTGCATGGCCATTCTGGACGCACCCTGCAATTATAGCACTGAAAGAAACAGAATCTTTTAAACACATCTCCTCAAAGAACGTAAGCGCATCATCTATTCTCCCGCACTTTGCATACATAGAAAGAAGAGTATTACTCACCATCAAATCCAAATTGGACCCTGACTTAACAGTATAACCATGCATCTTTCTTCCTCTTCTCAGATCATTCAGCTTAGCACAAGCTCGAATGACAGCGGCAAGCATGACAGGAGAAGGAGACCCAGTATCTTCCACCCTCATGTGCTCAAACAGTTCCAATCCTTCTTGCGTAGAATCACATGTTATATATGCTCCTATCATTGCACTCCACGTAATCTCATTCTTAAAAGACATGACTCTAAAAATCCTCTGTGCATAGTTCAACAAACCGCATTTTGCATACACATCCAAAATGCCAGTGTCAACAACTACATCTTTGACAAAGCCCCTTCTCATAGAATACCCATGAACAGCCTTCCCTTCACGCAACTTATTAGCTTCCGCAGTAGCGGGAAGAATAGCCACAATTGTAGATGAATTTGGAGTTAACCCATTCTCTTGCATTTCGAAAACCAAACCCATCATCTCCAAATACAAACCATTCACCGAGCACCCTGAGATCATCGCATTCCATGCCACAATATCTCTTTGCCACATTCCATCGAACACTTGTCGTGCCTCAACCAATAACCCACACTTGGCATAAAAATCAACCAACGCTGTACAAATATAAACATCACCATCAAGCCCATGCTTTTTCACTTCTTCATGAATCTTGACACCATTTTCTACATCTAGCATAGCAGAACAAGCCTTAACCACGAAAGGGTATGTATAATTTGTGGGTCTAACACCAGACTCGACCATTTCATAGTACAAGTCAATAGCTTTCTCAAAGGGTCCATTCCAAGCATATGCTCTAATCATTTGGTTCCATAATATGGTTTTATTATTTCTATCCGGATTAGGAATTTCGTCGAACATATGGCGTGCAAGATCAATTCTACTGCATGAGATATAAAAACGAGTTAACTTGTCTAGTATATTTGAATTGTTGTCATTACAGTGATTGTGTTTTAGGATGTGTTGATGGATTGATTTGCCTATTGATAATGACTTGGATTCTGTGCAGGCGTCAAGAAGCGCAAGGTAATTGTAGTAAGGTTCTTGTCTGAAATTCCAACTGATGTTTACTATTCGCCGCGCATTTGCGCATGTCATCTCCCGCTTGGCTTAAGGCTTTTGGTCTCTGTAAGAGAAATGAAATTGCCCTTCTCAAGCTTGAATTTCCTGTGAATTAGAACATGTAAAATGGTATTTTTGTGGTTATAAAATTATGGCATTAAGGTAAAATAAAATATTTAGAATTAAATTATCTACAAATATAAAAATATGTTTGGAAGGGACTTATAAGAAATAATGCTTGACATAAAATGAAACAGAGTGAGACCTTGAGTAATTTGTCTTTTTTCACTAGACTAATTAACAACAGCCAGTTGTCAAGTCCTTATACACAATTGTTTTTAAGATTATTAAAAAAAAATTGCTTAGATAGGGTGTTTACACCAAATTACATAATATAGCTAGCCAATAAATTAAAGTGAAATACATATCAATGAATTTTGATTAAATAACAAAATATATGTAAAAGACACAAATTATATACTTATTGGTATGATATAAATATGTCATCTCGAGTAATGTTGTTACTCACAAAAACTAACGTCTAGGAGTTCTTTTCTTTCGGCTATTAGGTTTCTACGAAAAGTGAATATGGTTGATGGCAAGATAAAAAATTATGAAGAATGGCCCCACATTTATTACATTCAATCCAATATTAAGAACACAGATATGAAGAAGATTTATTTAAAAAAAAAAAAAA